AGCCACCAATATGTTTTCTCGATGTCAGCCACTTCTACACTTTTTCAGTGATATATGTCATGCAGGTCCTTGTCTTTCCATTATAGTCCATCTGGCTCCTTCTCCCTACTGGGTTTCTGTTGCCTGAGTTATTCACTAAGTAGGCCGTCGTCCCTGGCGTCCATCATCTTTTTGGATGCCTGATGTTTCATCCTGTATAGTGCCGATGGTGCTCACTAGCCCATGGCCCCACTGTTTCTGATTTGTGTACAGTCTCAGGATGCTGCACTTGGGGTGGAACCCTCCGTGCATTGAAAGGACCTCTCTTGTCTTTGTCATGTTCCGTATTTGGCAGCAAGTGGCAGGCGTTCATTCTGCTGCCTGCACACCTGCTGCCTATTTGTCAATGATTACACCTGCTATATCTAAGCACTCCGGCTTTCGACTCATTGCCGGAGTATTGCATGCCGTGCCACTGTAATTGCCCACGCTCGTAAACCCTATTCGTATTTATTAATATATATATAATATAATTGTTGTTTGCTACACTTTCGTCATCCCATTGGGATTATTCAGAACGCATACTTGACCTAGTAAATTGTCTTATCTTTTTCCTTGCCGTTTTTTGCAAGCGCTTTGTTTTTTCGCGTTACATTATTTCCTGGTTCTCGTTTTGACCAGCGTTTTCTGTTTTCCATTAGACGGAGTTTTCGTTTGTAATAAATATTATTTTTGAGACAAAGGCCTTGTCAGTGTCTGCTACTTCGGGGATCCACTTCTTCTCGTTCGCTCTGTTGCGTACGAAGCAGTTCTTTTTTCCTGCCTTGTACGCAACGTGACAGTCTTGATATCAGTGGTTTGCATATCTATCACTGGCTAGGGAATTATGCCATCGGGATATCTGATAACTGGTAGAGAGTGGTTGTTAATGGCTTGGATCTTACTCTTGCCATTCAGCTGACTGTTCAGGATCTGTCTCACCTGAGGTACAGTATTTGGCTGTGGCCCCCCTTTGAGCTGCCTCCTCATGGTTCCTATATGTCTGTGGAATTCCAGAATATTTGTAGCTGTCTTGCACATATGTTATGCTGCCAAGTAGTGCAATCCTTTTGAATGTGTTCATCTTCCCTCTCCTAGAAATAATTTTCCCATATCTAGTACAAATGACATTTCAATGTCATTCCAGTCGATCCTTGTAAAGGCCAATCAAGGAGTCAATGACATGCTTGTTTTGTTTGTTTGCACACAGAGACTGTATAAAGACGACTGGGGATACTGGTGCCCGAAATCAGTCTTAGTCTTGTCTCTGTCTTGACCTCCAAAAGTGTCTTGTATCAGTCTCGATACTCTCTCATCTCGATGATGATGATGTCTTGGTCTCGGTTTGCATGGTCTTGACTATAGCACTAATCTGTATGTGTGTGTGTGTGTGTGTGTGTGTGTGTATCTCTCTCTTTCTCTCTCTCTCTGTCTGTATGTATGTATATATATATATATATACATACATACAGTCAAACCTCGGTGTTCGTCCATAATCCGCTCCAGAAGGCTGTTCGAAAACCGAAATTGTTCGAAAACCGAAACCAGGCTCTTTTTAAAATAAAAATGTTTACTGAACACGTCTGCTCACAATGGAAAGCAAGACGAGGAAGCATCACTTCCTCGTGTAAGGAAGGCGAGAGGAGTCAAATGGTGCATTCAAGTGCACTCAGTCCGAAATTTGTTCGTCATCCGAGGCATAAAAAACTCGAAATATTTGGTTGAAAACCGAGACGTTCGAAAACCGAGGTTTGACTGTATATATATTCGTGTGTGTGTGCGTGTATATATACAGGCTCGTGTTGGCCATTGGACATTTCAGGGAAATTTATTGATTTCCCCGAACGGCCAGTCTATTTCTCAGTCTGTCGAAATACATGACGGCCACCCCAACCACCCCTGTCGCTGATTAACTTTTGGCGTGTGATGTCCTCCGTACGAAACCCCCTTACCTTAACCCTGTCGTCTATTACACTTAGGACTTATTGTGCATGGAGCCGATTACAATATTGCTTCAATTTGCCCCTGGTTTAGAGTATGTGAGCCAAACATGAAGTGCGAAAATTTCCTTTGTTCCCTTGTAATTTTCCTTTAAGCAACCTTCAAGCGGAGGTATACACTTCCATCATTCAACAGTCATGAAAGGTGGATGATATCCTTGAAGAGGTGGTGCTGGCACGAGTTTGCTATGCTTTAAAAATCAGTCAAGTTGGCGAGAGTGGATCAGTATATTGGCCTTTACAAGTAGTTTGGAGCTGTAATACACAATGCTTCATTGAATGCATTTGTTACACTTGTACGGGACTTGTCTAAAATCGCCAATTATTAATTAAAATTGTTGTGAATGCGTTAGATGTTCATATTTGATATCTGGAAAATGGCCCTCTTTTTCTGTCATATAAAATGCCTGGTGGCAATGAAGCTACAAAAGTGTCTGTCTTGTTATATCATTCCAGCCCTCATTATTATGCGCACCCTCATCAAAATTCAAATATTCAGTCCGCCTCACTTACTCACAGATCATCGAGAGAGGGGAAACTTGTTGGTATGTTACTGCACTCAGCCGTTGAATTGGATGGGATGGTTGGAGGCTGCGGCGAGGTGTTGCGGTGGGTGGGGTGGGGGGGGGGGGCTTTCTTAGTGGATGGCCTGTTTAGTCATGGTCTCAGTAATCTCTGGTGACCTTGGCTGCTGCCTCATCAGAGGAATTTGCGCAGTGCTACATGAATATGCATGCAGCTGATGGACTCTCACAAAGTCTTTGAGTCTGGGGTGGTCTGTCTCTTCCGATCTGCCTTTACAGCGCCTCCTGTCCCTTCCATTTGTCTCTCCATGTCTTGCCTCTATTTCACATATCCAGACAGGGCTCAACATTGTGTACACAATTTATTAAGCAATATTTCAAGAGCAGTAGCAACAATTCTGCCTCTCATATGCAGTAAATGTTGACCTTATTTCACTTTTCAGAAAAGAGTACCTTAAAAGGGAAGTCAACCCAAAAATGTTCTTTTCAAGAAAATGTTCTATGCGACCCCACTCATCAAAACACAACATTCTGATTGCTATTGCATTTGTGGAATAAGAGTTAATCAGTAAAATCCCCCCATTTTTGTCCATCTCAGGGGCCGGTCATTTTGCCACTTGACTGACAATGACATCACAGTTGCTCAGGGTCCAGGGAACACACAATCATGGCTGAGCTTCAGAAAAGCGGCGAACCATGATTGGCCGTTACCTGAGCCCTGAGCAACTGGGATTTCACCTGACAAGTAGTGGTAAAACAGCCGCCCCCTGAGATGGACTAAAATGTGTGGGTTTTACTTCTTATCTCATATTCCACAAACGCACTATGAATCAGAATGCAGTGTTTAGACTAGAGAAGGTGCATATAAATGATTGTAAAGAATTTTTTTTGGCTTGACCTGCCTTTTAATTGGGTGTTGGTGGAGGAATCTTTGTGGGGCAGAACATTCTTTGGGAGGTGCGTAGCAGTGGCAGCTGGTTTGTAGGGGGTGCTAGGGTGCTGCTCCACCATTCATGGCGGTTACCACATAGAACGGTAGAAATACGAAAATGGAAAAGAATAATAAAATAATAATTGCAGCTATGTCGCTGATGGTGTAGTGGTACACAGCGTGGGAACAGTTCCCACTCAGTGATGGTGTGAATGTGGGTGTGAATGCACAGGTATATACAGATGTGGGCTAGGCACTGATGGTAGATGGATTCAAAAGTTGGACGCTGCAGAAAGATGGAGCCTAAATAGAAACCCAAGTCACTGCACAATGGAATTCAGTGGAAGGATTTTATTGGTACACACATTTCCTCACAGAAAATATGTGACATTTCAGTGCTTGTGTATTTGTCCAGACTGCCAGTTGAAGTTTCAAAGATGCCTCAGTCAATGCAGTCCAAGCATTCTTGTAATGCCAGCTTTGCTTCCTTGGTCCATCTCTTCACCGTCTTGACAACCGGTTTTATACATTTGGGTCTGTGCCTATATGTCGGGATTAAGTGGGTTAAACAGTGATCAGAAAACCCCAATGCTGTGGGGGCAACAGATCTGTATGATTCTTTAAGTGTCGTGCAGCAATGGTCCAGAATGTCGGCTTCTCTGGTGAAACAATCAATATGCTGCTTATACCTGGGAAGTTCATGGTTAAGTTGTGCTCGATTAAAATCGCCCAAAATGATGAGGGGTGACTCTGGATGCTTTAGCTTGAGTTTGTTTACTTGGTCAGGCAACATTTGTGAGCTGTATTCTCGTTAGCTTGTGCTGGGATGTAAACACCCGCGAGTATGAAGCAGGCAAACTCACATGTTGAGTACGATGGCTTACATTTTAGAAACAGTGACGCCAAGTCCGGCCTGCGGTGTACGTTGAGCTTTGTGAAATCAGTGCACCATTCTTGAAGCATATTCCACCACCTTTTGATTTCCCTGACAGTTCAGTGTAACGGTTCACTCGATGGAGACAGAAACCGGGTAGGTGCAGCACGGCATCCCAGTGGCGGTCGCTGAGCCAGGTTTTGGTGAAGCAGAATGCAGCAGAATGTGCAAAGATTTTGTTGGTCCTTGAGAAAGAAGAAGTTCATCCATCTTGTTTGGCAGAAAATATAGATTAGCAAGATGGATCGATGGGAGCGGACTTCCAAATCCACGCTGACGTAGGTTGACGAGCTGTCTTTCCTCTCTTCAGGTGGCGTTTTCATACTCCAATACAGTGTAGCCGCCCCGCCAGCTATTAACTCCGAATAACCTTGTGGGTTTGCGTGTGTTGGTGAAAAAAGTCAGGGCGTGGATTCCCTAATGCTTAGCAAGTCTTCTCTCTAGTAAGTAAGTGGCATACAGTCGCCAAAAATGAACGAAAATGACAAAAACAAAGGCAATACTAGAGAGCGCGTAACCGAGGCAGCCACTCTTGCCGGCACCAAAAAACCAGCGTGTTAAGTGCATGAACTATCGTAGCTCACATGCACAATTTTAAAATGCTTCTTCGGGCACTCCAGATTCCCTTTCTTCACCAGGGTCATCGGTGAATTCCAGATCAGACAAACTTTGAATAAGACAAACTTTGAATAAGAAGAATTAAAGAAAAAGATATATCGCAATAGCTCTGATCGCAGGCTGCAATTGCATACTGTTGACCGCCAATAATTTCTGGTGCGCCACCGTAGGTTAAAGGTGGGGCTATAGAATTTATTTTGTGACTTTCTGTTTTGATGCATGACTGAATGTTCAATTTTCGTAGTTTCATTGAAGTAATCGTTAATTTATGTTTTTTGGAGGTGTTCATGGACGCCTCTCGAGTCAAACGGAAAAAGAGAAGGCCCGGAGACGGACAAAGACGTACCTGTAGCTCTATCTAGTGGATGCATTGTAGATTGTGCCTTACAGTCCGGTCGATGCTTGCAATATATGAAAAAAATTAAAATATAGGCCATTAATTGAAGGTGCGCCTCATAATCCAGTGCGCCTTTTAGTGCAGAAAATACGGTCATGAAAACATTTTCTTGCAGTTTCCTCATTTTAATGTTTCAGATCATCTAACAAATGTAAATATCAGTTTTTAAATGCTGATTTTATTCATTCAGGAAAATGAATATTCCAAGTTACCTACCCTTGTGTGGAGAAGTAATTGCCCCCTAAACCTCATAACTGAGTGGGCCATGAGCCACAGCAATGACTCAAGCGATTTCTTATAGTTGGCAGTCAGTCTTTCACATCTCTTTGGAGATACAGTGGTCCCTCGCTCTAACGCGGTTCACTTTCCGCGGCTTCGCTGTTTCACGGATTTTTTTTAGTGCAGTTTTTTTAATGCTTTTAAACAGTGAATTGAGCTCTGCATCCTGGTTGACTAAGGCACTGGCCGATATGAACAGTCAAACCTCATACTGACTATTAAAAATGTTACTTTACAGTGCAGTATTTCAAAAAACTATTCTAGTTATTTGTTGAAAATGTTTGGTTTTTTTGTGCTTGGGCCTGAAAACAGGTTGTGGTCTTTGGTTTCATTGTATACATACTTCAGTATTGGATAATAACTGTAAAAAATAAAGCTCACTACTTCACGGATTTCACCTATCACTGGTTCTTTTTGGAACGTATCCCCCGCGATAAACGAGGGATTACTGTACTGTATTTTTGTCCCACTCTTTTTGCAGGACTGCTTTAATTTAGAAACAGTGGAGGGTTTTCAAGTATGAGTCTTTTTAAGGTCATGCCACAGCATTTCAATTGGATTTAAGTCCAGACTTTCTCTCGGCCACTCCAAAACCTTCACACCCCTTCGCCCCCATTTTTTTAACTATTCAGAAGTTGGCCTGTAGATGTGTTTTGGATTGCTGTCCTGCTACAGAACCAAATTTCAATTTTCGTAGTTTCATTGAAGTAATCGTTAATTTATGTTTTTTGGAGGTGTTCATGGACGCCTCTCGAGTCAAACGGAAAAAGAGAAGGCCCGGAGACGGACAAAGACGTACCTGTAGCTCTATCTAGTGGATGCATTGTAGATTGTGCCTTACAGTCCGGTCGATGCTTGCAATATATGAAAAAAATTAAAATATAGGCCATTAATTGAAGGTGCGCCTCATAATCCAGTGCGCCTTTTAGTGCAGAAAATACGGTCATGAAAACATTTTCTTGCAGTTTCCTCATTTTAATGTTTCAGATCATCTAACAAATGTAAATATCAGTTTTTAAATGCTGATTTTATTCATTCAGGAAAATGAATATTCCAAGTTACCTACCCTTGTGTGGAGAAGTAATTGCCCCCTAAACCTCATAACTGAGTGGGCCATGAGCCACAGCAATGACTCAAGCGATTTCTTATAGTTGGCAGTCAGTCTTTCACATCTCTTTGGAGATACAGTGGTCCCTCGCTCTAACGCGGTTCACTTTCCGCGGCTTCGCTGTTTCACGGATTTTTTTTAGTGCAGTTTTTTTAATGCTTTTAAACAGTGAATTGAGCTCTGCATCCTGGTTGACTAAGGCACTGGCCGATATGAACAGTCAAACCTCATACTGACTATTAAAAATGTTACTTTACAGTGCAGTATTTCAAAAAACTATTCTAGTTATTTGTTGAAAATGTTTGGTTTTTTTGTGCTTGGGCCTGAAAACAGGTTGTGGTCTTTGGTTTCATTGTATACATACTTCAGTATTGGATAATAACTGTAAAAAATAAAGCTCACTACTTCACGGATTTCACCTATCACTGGTTCTTTTTGGAACGTATCCCCCGCGATAAACGAGGGATTACTGTACTGTATTTTTGTCCCACTCTTTTTGCAGGACTGCTTTAATTTAGAAACAGTGGAGGGTTTTCAAGTATGAGTCTTTTTAAGGTCATGCCACAGCATTTCAATTGGATTTAAGTCCAGACTTTCTCTCGGCCACTCCAAAACCTTCACACCCCTTCGCCCCCATTTTTTTAACTATTCAGAAGTTGGCCTGTAGATGTGTTTTGGATTGCTGTCCTGCTACAGAACCAAAGTATGCTTCAGCTTGAGGTCACGAAATGATAGCCAAACATTATCTTTCAGGATTTTCTCAACTCAACTGTATTTATAGAGTACTTGAAAACAACCATTGCTGTATACAAAGTGCTGTGCATGGATCAAATATCATATATACAACAATAAAACAACAAATTAATAACAAAGACAGTAGAAAGCACCAAAGAGTAAGACTAAGATCAAGTCTGAGTCATGCCGTGTCAAATGCCATAGAATACAAATGAGTTTTGAGACAAGTTATAAAGATGGGCAGCGAAGGGGCTTGCCGAATATTCAGTGGGAGGTCATTCCAGAGAGAGGGACCAGCAACGGAAAAGGCTCGATCCCCTCTGAGCCGCCGCTTAGTTCTTGGTACTTCAATAATGTCTGGGTCCGCAGACCTGAGGCAGGTGTGTTGGGGCGGATGAGCTCAGAGAGGTAAGGTGGAGCGAGGCCACTTAAAGATTTGAAAACAAATAATCGGATCTTAAAACGAACTCTAAAATGTATCGGGAGCCGGTGAAGGGATGCCAGATGTGCTCCCTCTTACGAGTACCAGTCAAGAGGCGAGCAGCAGCATTCTGGGCCAGCTGGAGATACTTAATGGAGGATTGGCTGACTCCAAAGTCAAGTGCATTACAGTAATCCAGCCGGGATGTGACGAAGGCATGAATTACTGTCTCAAACTGCTCATGAGAAAGGAGAAGTTTTACTTTAGCCAGCTGCCTAAGATGAAAGAAGCTGGATATAACAACGGAACCAATTTGCCGTTCAAGTTTAAAATCACTGTCCAGTTTAAGACCCAAGTTTGAGACTGTTTGACTTAAGATAAATTTTCTAGTAAAAAGCTGTATTTATGATTCTATCAAGTAATCATCATTCCCAAACCATCACATTACCACAAACCATCTCTGACCGTTGGTAAGATGTTCTTCTGAAATGCTGTATTACATTTATGAAAGATGTAACGAATGACGCACACGAAAAAAGTGGGGCTTTAGTCTCGTCAGTCCATTTAATATTTTCCCAAAAGTCATTCATTTTTTGCAAAAATATGTATGACAAGCCTTTAGGTTGTTTTTTTTTTTTTTTTTTTTGGTAAACAATGATTTTTGCCTTGGAACACTACCACAGATGAGTTTATTTGTTTTGGAGAAAATAAAACTACTGATAACAATTAGTTTCTGAGAAATTTGTAAAGAAAATAATTGCTCCTGGATTGACCCTTTGGAAATGTGCGTATGTGGTGGAGTTCCTTGCCCCGCAGGTTAATGAAACACCTACATCTGTTGGCAAATCAGATGACAGTGACGTCACAGACCTCGGCCTGTAGTCTCGGGCCACATCGGAAAAACTTCTAGCAACGCTTCCATTGTCACTTCCCAGCCTTTGAAAAAGTGTAATGGAAAAGCAATCACGCAGTCTGGAGCCAAGATGCGAAACGCACACCTCAGAACAATGAGGCAGACATGCTGCACTGCAAAAAATTTTGATTAGAACAAAATATTTAGGTCTAATTTGGAGTTTAAAATACTTTATTAGTTATCAGCCAGCTTTTGTCTGTGTGAAAATATGCGTGTGGGTTGCACATGTTCACGCATCATGCGTGAATGACTTCAAGAAAGCCTGCAGAATTAAGTAAACTCCAAATGACCTGAACAAATTGAGCTCAGCGCTGCATGTGTTCCATAGTTTAAAGTTTTGCTGACCTACATACAATTTTTTTTCAAGTTAATTTCCTGCTATTAGTGAGAAAATACTAGTCTGTTTTTCATTTTCCATATATATTTTTTTATTCCAGCTGTGTGTTAATAATTCATTTTCTGAAGGCTTAATGGTATGAAGACTCACATTGGTCAATAATTAATTAATAATGTAAACAAGTATAGCTGTAGCTGAAGAATGATCACAAATTTAGTCAAATGCTCCCGTTTTGGGTGGATATTTTTGTGATGCATGTGGCAGGAGTCAATAGTAAAGAGTGCCGTGCCTCAAATCCATTCTCACTTCTATCTGCATTATGTGCCAAGGAAGATTCAAAAAAGAACAACAAGAATACTGATCACCCTTGGTGCAAAATTGTAAAAGGAAGTGGCGGTGGCATTTCTTTTTCATATTAGAGGGGGCAATCATGATGTATGGTCTTCTCTGTAATTGAATTTGGGCAGGAAACAGGGTGGTAATCAGAGTACAGTGGGTTGTCTATATTCTACTTTGACGATCATTTTCTTAAATGACTTTGCTCAACGTGTGCGCTTGTGTGACCTATGTTTGTATTTGAAGGGATTCTGTGGCTGCGCAGTATTCTGGAGCTCCTTCATGTCTCACCTTAAGGGATTGCTTACACATGACTGCTTTTTTGAAGGGATTTTTTTTTTAAAAAGGCCCAGTTTGTCTCTGGGTAATGGTGAAACACAGTGCTAGTTATATTTCTCCAGCAAAGTCCGATTGCTCAGCAAATTCTTATTTTACACTTCACATTTACCAAAAGGGTAAAA